AGAATAGTATTTAGTATTACCGAGAACCTCTTTCTCATCTGTTTGACCCAATTTTATGTAAAAATAGGGCCTTATAGTATCAAAAAGTATCTTGGAATAGAAAAGTTTACATATTTTTTTCTTTTTCTTTATTTTCTTTTTTATATTTTTAAGGAATTATTTATTTCATTTTATTTCCTTATTATTACTTTTTAACTTGGCCAGAGAGAGAGAGGGGGAAAGTGAGAAAGCAAGCCACCAGGTCCAGGACTCAACCATGGTCAGCCATGTGGGAGTCCAGCAACTTAACTGCCCTGCCACCTGCCAGCCCTATTTTTCCTTTTGAAATTCTGCTCACTAAATAGTATATTTTTTAAAAATCCTGTTTGGGGAACCAGCAGTTAGCGTAATGGCTATGTTGCTGGATTCCCATGTAGTCGACCGCGGTTTGCGTCCTGGACCCGGTGTCTTAAATCTCACGCCGGGCGCGTGTGCATGCATGCCCAAGATCCCAAAAGGAGAATGGAGGAGAAGGGATTGCAGTGTGACCATCCCTCCTGGGGGGGGTGATTTCTCGCTTTCTGTCTCTATGTCTCTCTCTGTCTGTCTGGTGAGTGCACGCGCCCTATAGCGAAAACCTCTCAAAAAAAAAATCCTATTTGCACATACAAGTTCATTCCTTCACAGGTATACATTACATCATCATTATGTGAACGTACTAATATACAATTTCTTTCATGTCCTATCACCAATATGCTAATATATTTATATATTCAAACATGCATATGTCTTATATAAGCACATATTTAGATTCTTGGGGCCAGCGGGTGGAGTAGAAAGTAAGGTGCTGGATCCTACATGGCCAGCTGAGCAGTTTGAGTCCCAGACCCAGCAGACTGAAAGTCACACCGGGCACATTTGTGTGTATGCTCAAAATCCCAGGAGGAGACTAGAGGAGAAGGGATTGCAGCATGGCCATCCCCTCCGGGAGGTGGTTTCTCACTTTTCCCTGCTTTCTCTTTGGCAGCCGCATCTCTTTATAGCCAAAAGAAAAAAAAAAATCTTACTGAGACAAAATAGGGAATAAATAAATAAAAGTTCTACATATGCAAAGAGAATAGCGGGATGGATGTGCGTGAACAGTCATTTGACTTGATGTCTAAGTAGAATGTTACGTAAGTGGGAGAGAGGAGCCTCCTGAGAGTAACCACACACTATTGGTAAGAAACAAGAATAGTTTTAATGGTAACTTAAAAAATAATTAAAATAAACCTTTCTGCCACATTTTAATCTTATTTTTTGACTGGTATACAACTGACATAGAGCCATTTATAGAAAACTGGTATTTCTTTATAGTTTGACTTTATGTGGTTTTGTTCTCATAGATGTTTTCTCCCAGATGTCAGATTCCAATGGCTTAATGATATTTAGCAAGTTTGACCAATTTCTGAAGGAAGTTCTGAAGCTCCCAACAGCTGTCTTTGAAGGGCCATCCTTTGGTTACACAGAACACTCAGTCCGCACCTGTTTTCCACAGCAGGTAAGGACAGTTTCATAGAACCTAGGACGAGAAGGGCGCTCACCCATCCTGCCACTTCTTAACAGATGTCTCCAGATTGTGTCTGCTCCAGGACATCAGGTTTTGAGTAGGGGAGGTAAAAGAGCTTTATGGGGAAAGAGGTCAGTTAATAGAGGGAAGATAAATAACTTACCTGAGAATTCTTGTGAGGATGAAGGGTATCTTTTCGGGGGGGGGAGAAAGAAATATGTTAAAGAAAAATGTTGAAGAAGTGTTTACATTATTGCTAATAGACATGTGTTATACTTTAATAAATGAGTTCTTTAAACTGTGAAAACAGAAATTTTGGTGTGAAACTCTGTACCAGACTGGATCATTGTTTTCTGAGCACTGGAGACAAGGGATGCTGTGTACACCTCTGAACTGCCCGCATAAAATCCCTCACGGGGACACTACCATCTTCATATTGAGAAAAAGTGGATTCGTTTTCCATTTGTGGTCTTGACATAGAAGTTCGTGTGAGTGTCTATGAAATCTAGTATCATAGCTGTGCCTCTAAAGACTGGGAGCAGAATAGACACTGTAGCACCCAGTTGTTAAGATAAAAGAAAAGAAGATTGGGGGCCAGCAGGTGGCATGGTGGTTAAAGCACTGGATTCCCACATAGCTGACTGTGGTTCAAGTCTCAGACCCAGCGGATTGAAAATCACAACAAATAAATAAATAATTTTTTTTAGCGATAAAAGATTAATTCTAACTTATTTAGAAAGTTCTGGAAAGTGGGGAGTTATAAAAAACTATGCTAAAACAGGTAAAAAAAATTAATAGAAATAGGATGTTGATGCAGTCTAAAAGTATCTCGCCGTATGATATTTATTACCTACAAGAGGAAATACAACTTTACAGTTGCATTTCCAGGGGTCACAGTTCACTTCACTAGGAGACTGACATGCCTCCTGGCAGCTGCATAGAGACAGCCCATTGTCACTCCTCTGGTACTCCCAGCATAAAAACAGCCTGAATCAAATCTTGAAGGAACATCAGACAAACCCAAATGAAGGGATTTCTATAACATGACTGGCCTACAGCTTCTAAAAGGTCAAGGTTGTGAAAGAAAACAAAAGCCCTAGGAAATATTCCTCAAGGAATTTCAGGAGATGTGCAAACTGAATGCCACTCAGGACCCAGGATTGTCTTTGCTATAAAAGGTATTATTGGGACAATTGGAAAAGGCTTAACAAAGTTTATAGACTAGATAATAGTATTCTGTTAATGAACGTTAATTTCCTGATTTTCATATTTGTATTTAGTTATGTAAGAGGATGTCCTGGTTTTGAGAAATTCAGGCTGAGGTATTTAAGAATATAGGAGTTTCTCTTCTGCAGTGTTGACATGTGAAGAATCTGGGTTTCAGAAAAATGAGAATATTTTGGTAATCTTAACAACCTTTCTGTAAGTCTGAAATTATTTAGAAGTAAGAAGTTAAGGGTCAGTCTGTGTCATGGTAGTTAAGAGAGTCAGATTCCTCATGGCTGCACAGTTTGAGTCCTGAACCTGGTGGTTAGAAAAACACTCTGAGCATGTGCATGTGCGAGCCCGAATCCCAACAGGACAGAGAGATGGAGGAGAAGGACTTGTGGTGTGACCATTCCCCATTGGGGGTGCTTTTTTTCTTCTCCCTCACTCTGTCTGTCTCAGAGTGCACACACTCCCTGGCAGATTTTTTTTTTTTTAATAGCAAAACCATGCAAAGGTACAAATGAAAGGATGTTGCAAACTAGATCTGTGATAGATACTTGAATTTGTGAAAGAACCAAAACACACACACACACACACACACACACACACACACAACAGGACAGAGAGATGGAGGAGAAGGACTTGTGGTGTGACCATTCCCCATTGGGGGTGCTTTTTTTCTTCTCCCACACTCTGTCTGTCGCAGAGTGCACACACTCCCTGGCAGATTTTTTTTTTTTTTAATAGCAAAACCATGCAAGGTACAAATGAAAGGATGTTGCAAACTAGATCTGTGATAGATACTTGAATTTGTGAAAGAACCAAAACACACACACACACACACACCTCTTTTTATTTTTAATTGTTTTTGGTAGAGGTTTTTGCCATAGGGTGCGCGTGCTCGCCAGACAGATAGAGAGAGACAGACAGAAAGCAAGAAATCACCCCCTAGCGGGGATGGCCACGCTGCAATCCCTTCTCCTCCATTCTCCTCTCGGGATCTTGGGCACGCACGCACACGTGCCCGGCGTGAGTTTTAAGCCACCGGGTCTGGGACGCGAACCACGGTCGACTACGGGGGAGTCCAGCGACATAGCCATTATGCTAACTGCTTTTCCCTCTTTTTACATTTAAACTTAAGCATTCATATTTTTCTCAGTTCAGACTTTCAAACAATATTTTCTGCTTTGTTTAGAGATTATTCAGATTTAGTAGTGAAAGTAGCTCCTATAAAAATGGCGAGTTATTGTTAAGAACTTCTGAGAAGATGTTCTTCCCACGTTTGTGCACCCTTGGGCTGCCTGGTCTTATGTAGGTTGGCTTCTGGGACACTGCTTGCTTTTTCTGTCAGCATAAGTGCCCCTCAGTCACTTTTAGTGACTTAGAAATATCTCTAGCCTTCACTTTCTTCCAATGAGACATTGCGTTTTTCTCTCTGATTATGCATTTTCGAATGCTATGAGGCTGTCCAGACGTGTCCTGGTAGAAGAATATCCTGCAGGTATTAAAATGTCCTCTAGGGTATACGTGAGAATGAGGAGTACATGAAAAAACCATCAACAGCTTTCCAGCAGTTTTCATCTCGAGGTCTTCCCTCTGCTGCTGCTTCAGTGGGACCATCACCTCTATGTTTGCCCACAGTACTCTGGGGAACACGGCGTGATGTACACACAGCTTTTCCCATTAGACGCTTCCCGGTGGTCAGGCTAAAAACCAATCACATTCTGGAATGCTATCCTTAAGTAAAGTAGTGTCGGGATAGGGAAGAGGATAATTTATACAAGGACGTGTCAGCGAGGCAGAAGGCCTGACAAGTGGATGGCTGTGGGGTACTAACCCGAAGGTCATCTTTGGTTTCATTGTAATGTGAGTACTAAAGCGAGAGTCTAAAGTTGGAATAACACTTTACAATGTTGAAGAAATGTTTTAAAGTTGTAATACTCAATTCCGAGAATGTTGTCTAGGTTTCTACAAACCGCCTGATGGAATACGTGATTGTGAGGCCTCTGAACTCACAGTCTGATTGTTACTGTTCACCGGCCTCAGATTCCCGTACAACGGTCGGCGTTTTGATATGTGCCAAATTTGGAGAAAATCAGAGAAGCCCTATCTCAGCCTGGAGGAAACTTATGTTTTCCTAATTCTATGAAGATGATTTAAAAAAAAAAAAAAAAAACCTTAGAAGAAAGAGAAGAAAAAGAAACTGCTGATGGAATCTAAAAAAAAAAAAAAAAAAAAAAGATGAAACTGAACCACTTTTTATGCAGCAAGAGTTAAATTCCATGAGTTCTGGGTTTCCTTTTACAAACAGGCTTTTCCTGCACAGGGGCTGTGTATCTTTAGTGCGAGTTGGCTCCTGTACCATTAGAGAGAGAGGATACGGATGTAAAACAGAATTTCTCGTTTGAGCGCAGTCTCCCCAGCATCTGATCTGAGCTACACAAAGAAGTGATCACAGTGAAAGAGAAAATGTGGGTTTTTTTGTTTTTTGTTTTGTTTTTTTTAGAAGCTAAGGGCTGGCCCTGTGGTGCAGGGTATAGGGGAACTGGATGTCTCATGGCTGACATGAGTCCCAGTCCACGTGGCTTGAAAATCATGCCAGGCTTGTGTGTGCACCTGTGTGCCCAAAATCCTGACGAGAAGGAGAAACTGAGGAAAAAGGGTTGTGGCGTGACCCTACCCCGTGTGTGTAGAGGGAGGGTGCTTTCTTGTGTGCTCTGTTTCTGACAAGTGCACACGCCCTCTGGCAATTAAAAAACAAAAAAAAAAGCAGCCGCTGAAAATCCCACAGTACTTTCCTTTAGTGAAAGAAGTAGCGTGTTTAGGAGATTCACCAACTGCTCCACTTTCTCCAGAGCTGTGATGGTGAAGCTGTGGATATGGAAAAGCTGTGAAGATGTTTCCCCTCTTGTGCTAAAATAATTGATGGAATTAACCACCCCCCCACTCCTCCACCCCCAGATCTGATGCTTAGTTTTGGGGAAACTGATCTATCTCAGAAGTTTGTGTTTCTCTTACCGTGAAGAAGGAAAAAGTGTCTTAGGAGTTCAGGCCGAAACGGTATGTCTGACAGGGACTTTTGGTCGAAATACCTGTGGAAGACTGATGTTTTTAAGAAAACACATTCTTCCTGTTTTTCACAAACTAATTCCATATAAGGTCTATGGGTTTATATAGTTTAGTAGTCTTTGAAACACAAGCCAAATTAAAAGCATTTGTGAGTTAGTTCAACAGAATCCATTGGTAGATAGCTGTTGGGTCATCAGAAAAGTCATGACAGATTTTCGTGTAGAAAAACTTAAAAAACCCATCATGACTTTTCTCCTGACTCAATTCAATCCAGTGACTGACGTCAGATGTTGATGAAGATCTGGAGCACCCCGGACTCCCATGTAAGCCACTCTGGAAGAAGTCCTGGTAGTGTACACGTCTAAACGGACACCTCCTGACACCTAACAGTTGTACTCATAGGTTTTTCCCAAGTGAAATGAAAATTTGTGTTCACAAAAAAGGTTTTTAGGCCTAGTCTCTCTGGTGCAGTTGGTAGTGTACCAGACTATGGAGCTGGAAGCCACATACCTGTGGTTGTTCAGTTCTCTGGCCCAGTTGGCTTGAAAACCCACTGGGCATGTGCATGTGTGCTGGGGCCCCTGGCAGGCTAGGGAACCGGAGGAAGAGGATTGTGGTATGATTGAGCCCTGTGGGGAGTGCTTCTTTTTCTTATGACTCCATGTGCATGTGCTTTACCATGAGTTTAAAAAAAATACAAGAATACTCTTACA